CTGGTTGGCGCGGGAGAATGAGGGGGGGGGGGCAGTCATGCCTGGGTTCCCTGCCCGATCTTCTCCAGTTGCCCTGCGGTTGCGGGGCACCTGGAAAAGATCGGGCAGGGAACCCAGGCATTTAAATCTCCCCCCTCCCTGAGTGTTTCCGCGGGTGAGGGGCGGGGCCTGGGCTCCTTCCTGCCGGAGCGCTGCTCCAGGGAGCTCCAGCAGGAAATGACCCCTGGTCCTTTTGATTCCCTCTTGAAGCAGTAGCTAATTAAGCTGGATAAAATACCATGAAGCTTTACAATGGCATGAGAGAGTTCAGATTTTCTGGCCAGGGTCCAAAGAACCCTGAGACTCGTTTTGTGAGCTGAAGGGGCTGTGGATCAGCTTTACAAGAAAGCGGATCTCTTCTCCTCTTCTCTCTGCAAATGTAGCACAGTGAAGAGTCATTGAAAATCAGGGGAGTGTCAAAAAGGAGTTCAGTAATAGATCATGTGTATAACCATTTTAAAAAATAATTCATATTCTGTGAACATGGCTCTGTCACTCTCAGTCCCTATTGACTTACATTTTATGTTCCAAGTATATTTTTTTTCTTTTTGGTCAGCTCCTCGAATACCATTGGAGAAAAGAATCTTCACCACTGCCCACGCTCCAGACTGTGCATTTCTAGAGACTGATGACAGGTAATGATTTTGGAAGATAATGATACAGCTGGTGAAAATAAAATTCTCCTTAAGGGAATTGCTGGAGACTCATGCATGTTGGTAGCAGGGTATAAATTAAATAAAAATAAATAAAATAGCAGCCAAGAGCCTTTGCTTGGATGATTTTGGGGCTCTGAAAAAAATCTTGAATTCATGGGATATAAAGAACCATAAAACACGGCTAGACACTGATCCCTCTTGACAAGGAGAACAGGAAGACTAATATCTAAAACCATTTGCTTGGGTTGTCGTTTAATGAAGCCCATTGTATTGCATCTGATAGACAAGAAATAATAGGTGCACCAAAAAGTAATACGATGAGTCAAACTACACGGAGGTTCCTTCACAAAAAGCAAAGCAATTCAAGTGCTAGTCTTGAATCTGCTGCTGTAGTGTAGACATAGTAATACAAATCATGAAGTTTGTTATAAAAAAATGAAATTTTATATGTATACCATATCACATTCACATTAAGGTAGGGAGGTAGTTCTAATATTCTCAATTCAAAATGGAGCTGATAAAAGTATATGTGAGTTGTAGCATGTAATGGCTTCAAATTAGCAGACTTTTCCATGTTCTTCAGAGTATGTTCCTGTTAACTTTGAGTCAACATATTTTATACCATGTTGCCTTGTCAAATTCTTCCGGGTAGGTTGCTCACTTTTCATTCTCTGAGACTAGTTTTGTGAGCTGAAGGGACTGTAGGTTGGTTTTACAATGAATGTGTATCTTCTCCTCCCCTTCCTCCCCCCCTCTGCAAATGGCAAAATGAATCTTTTGTTGTTGTTCAGTCGCACAGTCGAGTCCGACTCTTCGCGACCCCATGGACTAGATCCATGAATCTACATTGCTTCAGTTCTTTAACCTGCCCTGGCTTGGAGCTAGCCTAATCCCATCAGATCTCGGAAGCTAAGCAGGATTAGTCCTGGCTAGTATTTGGATGGGTGACCTCCAAGGAATACCAGGGGTGTGACACAGAGACAGGCAATGGCAAACCATCTCTGAAATGTCTCTTGCCTTGAAAACAAGTCTAACTTACCACCTAGTGGTGCATAATAACTTCTGGCTGCCAGACCAGATCTGGCTGTACTACACGTACTGCCATGTGATAATTATTATTACTATTATTTAACCTTCATGAATGAAATCTTTTCTTTAAAATTTTACAGGTTACAATAAGAAACAACAAAAAATTAGCTATCTAAGATACCAGCTTTAAAAAAAAATTAAAAGCATCAATTTATAAATTTAAGAGTTGGTTTTCAAAACTGTATGAAAGGTTCCCAGATAATAGCAAACATTGTTTTTAGACACTTTCATCTCCCACACACACCTTAATGAAATCTCTTGAACTGCAATGTTGCCAGCATTTCTTCAGTAGCAGAAAATTCTGGTAGATAATCCATGAAAGCGTTGTTCCCCACACCACTGGTTGCGCCTTTGCCTGTTGCTGGGTGTTGCAAATATTCAGCTACACTTCCTCACACACCCTGCACATTTCCCAGTCAGTTATATTAGGAACGTCAGAAGCATCTGTCAATGTCAGCTGAGTAAAGTGATATAGTGTGGTGCAATGCTCCCTCTAAGCTGTGGGGTCTTGTGAGCAAAAATTCTAGTTTGTGAGCTACTGGCATGTTGTGAGCAATTGAATTGTCTGCTGCATAAATCAGTTTGCTTTGGAGCCATCCTTTCTGAGTGAAGACAAAAGTGTGTGAGCTGGAGGCTAAAAAACTGTGAGCTATCTCACACTCACTCAGCTTAGAGGGAACACTGGTGTGGTATTACTGGGTTGTTTTGTAATCATTTGGAACAAAGTACCATATCCTATATGTAATTATGTGGTTGTACCAAAACATAAACAAGCTATTTAAATATTAACTCTTCACAAGTTTTTCTATCAATTACAAATTCTGAAATAGGATAAAATACCAAATAAAATTGCCTTTTAATACAATTCCATTAAATTATGTAATGACAATGTTACATGTTTAATTGCAAAAGAAAACAGCTGCAGATAATGTAATAGCAGACAGATTACTGCCGATAATTTAACACCAGTGTAATGGCAAGTGCCCATCAATCCCATTGGACCTTAAAAAAAACACACCACATATTTAGACCTTTCTTCAACTAGTTACAACAGCTGAAATCCTAAAAACACTTTCCTGGGAATAAGCCACATTGAATAAATGTGAGTTACTGTAGAGTAGACCTGTTTAGGATTCTTCCCCAAATCTTCTACCATTTTTAGAACGTTGGTAATGTCTCCCTGTCTTAATTTGAACTTTATAAAATGCCGGTTGGTATCTACCATGTTCCATACTTTTATTACAAAGGACACTGTTCTGCTCTTATTGTGATGGTACCATGCAGGCGCCATCAGTGTACATGACAGTAGCACATTCAAAGACTGCCATGGGCCCCTTTGGGAGAAAAGCAGACAAGAAAGACATAAAATGAAGGGAAAAAATCCCTGCTTCAAAGAGTTTGCATTCTAAGTTTTTGCTACTGAGGTAGCAGCTGAAGAGAAGGAAGAAGTCAGAGTTCCAAGAGGTGACTGGGGAAATGCAGTTAGATGTTCTGGGGTTTTGTTTCATCTGGGAGTGGGGCCTGAGGGCATTTGCTTATTGTTATGTAGGCATCGCTTTTCAGTTAAAAAGCCAAAACCACTAAAATGACACAGGCTGAAAGTAGCTTTCAGCTGAAGCTGGGTCCTGGCACAATGTGGTTAAGCTCAGCCATCAGTTGCTTTTCTCTCTGTTGCGTTTGATAGAAGTGCAAACCATTTTGCTCTCACACAGCAAGAAGGGTTTGCTTGAAAGGGCAGCATTCAGTGTTGTCCCGTAATAAGCAGACATCTCTGTTTTTTTTCAGAGTTGTTCCTCTGTTGGGATTCCTGCCCCAGGACTTGATTGGAACATCTATCTTGATGCATCTCCATCCTGAAGATCGCCCTTTGATGCTTGCAGTCCATCGCAAAGGTAAGCCTGAGCGGCTGACACTCCTTTTCCTGAAAGCTTAGTGCCCAGGTGCCTCCTCCTGGAGTGTGTATAAGCAGAGCAGCACCAGCCCTCCAGCTTCAGTGCTTCAGGGACAACAGGTAGGTTCGAGTCCACTAGCACCTTAGAGACCAACAAGATTTGGAGGGGGATGTAATAAGCTTTCGGGAGTCAAAGCTCCCTTCATCAGATCTGACAAAGAGAGCTTTGACTCTCAAAAGCTCATACTCCCAAAATCTTGATGGTGTAAGGTATTACTGGACTGGAACCTAGCTGTTCTACTTCAGACCAACATAGCTGCCCTCTGAAACTGTCGAGCATAACAGTAGCCACAGAAGAACCATGGCCACAGGAAAGAGATAAAATATCCTGCATTGGAGAAGGCAAGGCTGTCTAGGGTAGCCAAATCCATGCCTTGAGGGAGTTCCTGTCCAGTCTCTGCATTGCAAGAGGAGACCTGTGGGATCTTCTTGAAGAGACAACCGGATGCAGAAAAGCACAAAGCCTTTTTCCTTCTCCACTCCCATCCCATTGGATTATTTAACAGAGGAGTTTGACAGGGATGACCTCGAGTTCTAAATACCCAGGGCTCTAATTTTTCTTCTTGGTCAAGCAGCTTTCTCAGCTATTTCTCTTGGCCCTGTTTGTTTATTTCCCCACTTCTGGGTTTTTGTCTAATTTCTTCTTTGTTTTTAATGGGGGCTTTGTTAAAGAGGGCTATTTTATAAAAGGAGTAGGGCTGTACTTTTAATTCTGAAAAATTTAGACAGTTTTGTTTATTGGGTAGATTATGCTGGTCTTAATTCATTGTTCCCTGATTTAGCAATCCAGTTGTGTTGTGCTGTTTGTCGAATGGATTATACCAGTCTTTATTGCATTGTTTTCTAATTCTGTAATCCGCCTTCAGTATTATTGTGAAAGATAGACTGTAAATGAATAAATAGCCATGTATGTGAAATTGTATCCCAAAACTTGACAGGTGTTTCTCATAGTCTGAAGAGCCAGTGTGATGTAGTAGTTAGTGCTGGACTAGGATCTGGGAGACTCAGGTTCTAATCCCATGGTACTCTGCCATGAAAGCTTGCTGGGTGACCTTGGGACAGTCAAAACATACTTATCCTAACCTACCTCACAGGGTTGTTATGATAAAATGGAGGAGAGGAGAAAGATGTAAGCCTCTGTGGGTCCTCATTGGTAAGAAAAACGGGATATAAATGAAGTAAATAAAGAAGAGTGGAGTGGCAGAGCCTCCATACCGGGGGTGGGGGAAGTTAACCCTCCCCTGCTCAGGATGATATAACTTTTCATCCTTGTTTTCCATTAAAATAAAGCCTTTTGTCATCTTAGTATGCTTCGGGGGGGGGGGGGTGCAGCATTATTGTATTGACAGTCCAGCCCTCACATGCTCTTCCCCCTTTCCATATGTCCCAAAAAGGCAATCCTTTCTTTTGATCGCAGTGTTGACAGTCCATTCTTGTTTTCTTTCCTCCCGTTTCCATACAGTTCTGAAGTTTGCAGGTCAGTCTCCCTTTGAACACTCACCCATCAGATTTTGTACTCAGAATGGTGACTGCATCTCTGTGGACACCAGCTGGTCCAGCTTTGTGAATCCGTGGAGCAGGAAGGTTGTGTTTATCATTGGACGACACAAAGTCAGAACGTAAGCTTAATGAAGCCACAGTGTTTTGCTTTTCCCAAGTTTTGCTCCTTGATATCACCTTGAGACAAAAGATGGCTGGATTGGACTTGGGCATGATGACTAAAGGAGAGCCTCTGTGTTCAAAAGCAGTAAACCTCTAAAAACGAATGCCAGGAGGCAACATCAGAGGGAGGGTATGACCTCTGTGTCCTGTTTGGTGGCTCTCTAAGACAGCTGGTTGGCCACTGTGTGAAACAAGATGTTTCATTAGATGGATGTCTGGTCCGATCCACCAGGGCTTTTCTTATGTCCTTGAAAAGGTAAAGCATTTGACACATTAAACAGGGCTTTAAAACAAGGCTGCCTTCTGAGAGCTTACTTTATTGTTGCATCTGAATCATACAGCTGTGTTATGTTCCCACCACACTAAAAAACATTTGGGGAGGGCCTGTGACTCAGTGTCAGAGCATCTGCCTGGCATGTAGAAGGCCCTAGGTTCAATCCCCAGCATCTCCAGCTAACAGGTCCAGACAGTAGGTGATGTGATGTGAAAGACCTCTGCCTCAGACTCCAGAGAGCTGCTCCCAGTCTGCGTAGACAATACTGACCTTGATGGACCAAAGGCAATAAGGCAGCATCATGTGTGTTCACTTGGAATCTGGAGGAGAACAAACAATAATTTTGTGGTTCAGACTTTTTTTTTAATTATATCCCGCCCTATCCCAAAATGGGCTCAGGGCGGCTCAACAGAATTTGATACTAATAAATACAATAAGCAAATTAAAGCAAGTTACAAACATTCAAGCAATCATATACTAAACAGTAGAACAAGATGGCAAACCAGCTAAAAAGGTTTTTTTTTCCGGGCAGTCCTTAAAGCTTCCTGCAGGATGATTAAATTGACCGTTCTATATAAACAGTGCTACGGGCAGCTCTGTGGGCAAGGGAGGCCTAGATGGACTGAATGTCCGCTGCCTCAACCAAAGGCTTGGCGGAACAGCTCCGTCGTACAGGCCCTGCAGAACTGTAACAAGTCCCCCAGGGCCCTGATCTCAGCGTTGGGGTCAGTGACACGCCACCAAGTGTTGGGAGCCGGATCCCTGATCCCAGACCCTCACAACTTAGTTACAGGAACTCTGTCTTTCTTGGATTTAATCTCAGGGAGCTCTGTTGTAACCATCCAGCCACGGTCCCTAGTGCGTCCAAAATTTATCAAAGAACTGTGATTTGTCATGAAACCAGAAATAATTTTCTGAGCTGCAGGAGGTAGAAAGGAAGTGAAAACAGACTGTGGTCCATAATCAGATATGAGCCTTGCTAATGTATGAAATCTATCTTCTTTGCTCAGGGAACAGATAGACATTCTATCATCGTAAAAGTTTTCCAAGTGCAGCTTCTGGGGGGCAGCTGTTGTCTGACAAAAAGAGACTTGCATAGGAGATACCAATATTGTGTTTAACTGGATACCCGTGTTAATTTAGCATCTACATGTTTGTTCCACTGTGGCTGCTGGAAAGCAGTTCTTGCTATCTTTTAAAGTAGCAGTAGACAAAAATGAAGAACGCTGGTTGGCTTTAGGCCTTTGGGAAGGCATTTCCAGTAGGGCCTCTTGTGCTGAACTGTTCTGGGTTGTGCTTCTCTCACACATCTCATAGCTCAAGCAGGCTCCATAAGCATTCCCCAGGCTCCAACTTCTCTCTCTTTCAGGATCCAGTTCTTGTTTTGAGAAGCTCCTTATCTAAAGAGGGTTTTGTTTCTTTGGGACTTTAAAGCATGGTGTTGGGGAACAAAAACACTCTTACTTAAATCATGTTGTTTTTAAAACCAGTCAACAAACCCAATTTCTTTTTTTCTAGATGGTAAGATATTTCCTTGGGTTACACTATCCTGCTGTCTGATTTTATTCAGTTGACAGAGCTCAAGTTAAAACCCGGAGTTTAGCTTTGCTTCCTGATACCATACAGTTAATCCTGTTCCTTGAACGGCCCACTCTATAATCTTGTTACACAGACCTTTCTTCATCTGGCTTCAGTGTCGTGTTCTGTTTCCAATTGTGTTTTGCAGGAGCCCTCTGAATGAAGATGTCTTTGCCCCAAGAAGCAGAGAGCAGAATGGTGATGACAAAGAGACAAGGGAGTTGCAAGGGCAGATCTACAGGCTGCTTCTGCAGGTAAAGGGAAGGAACATAAGGCAGGCTTTCCTTAGACTCACTCACAGGACTCTTAAGGTGCATGAAACTTTCTACATGTTTAGTACCAATACCACTATCAGGAATGTTTGATTTGCTCTGAAAAGTTCCCTTGTTTTTCTGCAGCCGGTTCATAGCAATGGTTCAAGTGGTTATGGAAGCCTTGTTAGCAATGGGTCTTACGAACATTACATCAGCGTAACGTCTTCCAGTGATTCCAATGCGAACTGTGTGGAGGAAACACAGAAGGAATCAGTAAGTCCTTGTTTATGGTGTTAGCCAGACTCAATAGACACAAAGTAATTTTAAAAACAACCTGATATTGTGTTAGTATGGAATATAGAACTCTGTACATGATACATGGGAAGATGATGATGAGAGAAGCAAAGTACTTGAATTTTAAATTGTTAGATCAAACTGTTTTGGATTTTTTAAATTTGTCCAAAACAGTAATACAAAATCCAACAAAGTGAACGGCAGATGTCTGTTAAACTTTTGTACAGTGGCTTCATTTTTTGAGCATGAACAGTACACAAAGTGGAGAGATGTTGCAGTTGCAGGATGGCCTGTATATGTTGCATTTCAAAATGCTTGGTTTTGCTGGAGATTAAAACTATGTTTCCCTGACACATACCTGCAGATGCTTTACCACTGAGCCATGAACTGTCACCCTACTGTGATCCTCCAAGCTTCTTCCATCCGTGATGTGCTATAAAGTGTGAAACACAGGATGCCTTCAGGGACTGCTAAGTCTTGCTCAATATCTGTGCTCCAATGCAGGATGGTTAGGCCCATTGTAATGCCTCTTGTCACTGTTTCATTATCTGCTTGAGTTCCCTTTTCATGACGTTCCTACTTTTTGTATCTTCTGCCCCCACAGAAGGCTTGTGTGGACATCAACAAACTAAAGAATGTGGGTCAGCAGCTGTACATTGAGTCACACAGTGAGCATCTGAAGAAGAGAGGAAGAGCTTCAGGTCCTGAGATGCCAAGAGGTGAACTTTAAGACTACAGAGCTGTGGGTGGTGGAATGAGGTGCCTTGCACCAAACTATGTGTAGATCTCTAGGGAATCACTACAAAAGAAACATGTAGCAGTCCCGAAACACTCAGGATATTAGAATAATGAGAACTGGAGTGATTACTGAAGTTGATAATGCTGTGTCTGTTTTCTGATCCTTGTTTTTCAACTGTGTGTCTTTAAAATGGCTCCCTTTTCCTGCTGCTCTTTCTAGGCAAACAGCACACATCTTCTGGTTCGCCTTATGCTGTGAGCGGTGATAGTACCAGAGATGCACCTGTTGTGCACTATGGTGGTTCTAGAGATGCTCATCATATTCTGTCCTATCAGCAAATTAACTGCATGGACAGCATTATCAGGTAACACAATGTGGTGAAAACTTTTCAGTGTCCATTGTTTAGCCTGGAAAGAAAATGTTAGCAATTCAGAAGCTTTTGACCTCCCAAAAAGTTAAGGAGATGGTTATCATCAACAGATTTTAAAAAACAACGTTGATCAGTCATCTTGTGAAGAGAGAAGAGAAAAAGTCATGCAAGTTTCAGCTTCTGTAGTGAAATATAAAACTGTGCTGTGCTTTTCTATTGAAGTTTAAACATGAAAGGCCCACTTGCCCGCTTTCAGGGCTGACATTCCCCGTCCGTACTGGTGTTTAATTGAGTGCTGGGGGAAGGGGGGGGGAGTGTCCTTAACACTTGAACATCACTTCTGGCTGGAACTTGGAAGTCTCTGTGGGTTCCAGCCAGAAGTGACAGTGACATGTGGCCAGTGCCAGGCATACACCTGGCAACCTAATGTGATGAAGAATATTTATGCTGGATAACATTATTTTTTTGAACTATGGTGCTGGAGAAGACTCTTGAGAGTCCCTTGGACTGCAAGAAGATCAAATCAGTCAATCCTAAAAGAAATCAACCCTGTCTGTTCCCTGGAAGGCCAGATAATGAAAATGAAGCTCAAATACTTTGGCCACCAAATGAGAAGGGAGCACTCACTGGAGAAGACCCTGATGCTGGGAAAGATTGAAGGTCAAAGAAGACGGGGACGGCAAAGGATGAGATGGTTGGACAGTGTCATCGATGCAACGAACATGAAGCTGAGCAAACTTCAGAGGACAGCGGAAGACAGGAGGGCCTGGCGGGATCTGGTCCATGGGGTCGCGAAGAGTCGGACTCGACTGTGCGACTGAACAACAACAGCAAACATTATTGCTGTTTGATGTTTTTGTTCATACACACTAATCTGTTTGTTACATACTCTGGGATGTAGTGTGGGTTAGCGAAGCCATCAGAGCGTTTTGACAGATGATAGAATTGGGGTGAGAGGGAAAGCTTGGCCCTTCTAAATGTAATAAAATTTTCTTCTGTGGGATTTGTACTCTGGGTTAGGTTTTGACTTGTGCAGCCTTTAGTTTTGCATGTGAAGCTGGGGAGACATAATGTCTGGTTGAAACCAGTTATGTAATTCTCAAAGCAATTGAGAAATTAAAGATTTTCTTTTGCAGCTTTGCCCTGCAGTAAATATTTCCTGCTTTGTTTATTTAGACGTCTAGGCTGTCTTCTCCAGAGACACTGCTTTGTTAAGTAGTGTTTCTGCATACTTAATTCTTTTGCTGTATTGTGGCTTCACCTGTATCACTTTCTGGCACTCCTGTTGGGAGAACAGCTAATGAGCATGACTGAATTTAAGTTCCATATAAATCCTCTTTAGGCAGTTTGCTCCAGTCGCTGTTTCAGTTTCATTCTGAGCAGATAACTGCAGCCTCAGTGGTGCAAAAAGTGTCTGTCCCTGAATGATAACAGCAGGATCATGACTCTGATCTGCTGACTGGCAGGTACCTGGAGAGTTGGAGTGTTCCTGCACTGAAAAGAAAATGCGAATCTGCAAACGTTTCCTCTTCAACTTCAGATGATGACAGACCAGCTCAGCTAATCCAGAATGAAGCACAGGCCATCGAAGGTACCAGGAAAGGCAGCAGTGTTTTTAACAAAATATTCTGTTTCAAACGTTAAGTGCGGAGTGACATAGCTAATCCACGCCACAGGTGTACACTGGTGTTTCATATGGGTTTTTTAAATCCAGATTTTTGGCAAAGAAGGACACTATATTAGAGTTGATCAGTGGGCTTGTCTGGAGCAAGAGGAGTCCTTGTTGTGTTTTTGTCTTCATGTCAATCACTGGGCAGCCTTAAAACGATTTAGTTCTGGCTTTTCTGCCCCCTTGCTGATGTTTGGTCTGTTGCCACTAGATGCCGCCAGATTCTCCTCCGTTGCTTCCCAGCCACCGACAATGCCCATGCCAAGAGAGGCCCCAGAGCCGCAGGCATCCATAACCATGGCAGGTCCTCCAATGACAGACATGGCCGTGACCACCAAGGCCTTGAGTGTGGTGTCCATTACCAGCCAGTGCAGCTACAGCAGCACCCTTGTGCATGTTCCACACCCGGAGTCTGGTAGGTTGGCGTGGCTGTTGGCAAACTGAGCATGTGTTCCCCCCCCCCTTTATGTTCTCTCTGTGAGATATAAAATAAAAATAGTCCATAATTCCACTTGCCATCTTCTTCCTAACAAATATTTTCCTAGAACAGAGCTAAATTACAAAGACATAAGAACAACAATTAAAGCATTGGTCAGGAGGGAAGGATCACTGAGGGAACACCAACCCCCCCCCCCCCAGAAGTCTTCACCTGCTGGTGGAAGATGGCCACAGAAGTTCAAATTATAATAGAAATTCAGGTTTTGGTCCCAACACACACACACAGCCTCTCTCTTTCTCTGGCCAGAGTTATCCTTTAGTGTCTTGTTAGGGACTATACTCTAACACGAGAGTGGAGAATTCTGACCTTGTGCATCTAGTGCTGTGTCTATGTCTCATTTGATGTCTCAGTTGACATGAAGATTGTGTAAATGTGATCACCAATCCCAGAACCTGCCATTTGTATTTTTGGAGTACCCAAGGCATGACTGATAGAAAGAGAGGTTATTAGCAAGTTTTCTTTAAGTAGGAGTAGTATTGTTTTGTCACGGTAGGAAAGTCTTCTAGGACTTGGCTATGCCTCCGAAGGTGAAGATGGACCAGCTGATCCCGTTGTATGCAGGAAGTAAAGGAACTGGTACAGCTGAGTGCCAAGCAAGCCACAGCTCCTCTCTTTCCTATCATTCCTGTGTAGCTGATTCAGGTGCTGTTGGTCTGACTCCCTTGAGTCGCCTCTTGTGTGTCATGGTTCCCCTCTTACCACCTGAGTCCCACCTCCCCCATAAGCCATGATTTAATTTGACCGATATTGGATGAGATCTTGAAGCACAGCCAGCTACCTTGATTGAAGTGTTTTCCTTTCTTCTTGCAGAAGCGACTGCCATAAAAGAGGCCACTCCACAGAGTGAACAAGCAGAGCTTTCCCCTACCAGCGCTCCAGCTGCAGCCCTTGAGGAAATCAAACTGGTCGGGCTGACCAAGGAGGTCTTGTCGGCCCACACTCAGAAGGAGGAGCAGAACTATGTGGATCAGTTCCGCCGGAAGATGCTCTTGCCCCACTACAGGCCTTACCTCCAACAAGGACAGGTCGGAAGCAACCAAGCTAGTTCACCTAACCAAGGTAGGAACAAGCCACCACATGGGTGGATGAGGCAGGACAGCAGCAGGCCAATTCTTGGGAAAGCTGTGAACGGTTTGTAAATGCTTAAAGTCAGCAAGGTATTGGAGGCTACTTGTGTTTCTTTTTAACAGTGTCAATACTAGAAAAAGTTGAACAAGCAGGCCAGTTGTAACCTGCTAAGGGGAATTATGAGGATGCAAATCCAAAAGTCGCAAGCTCATAAAATGCATCAAGCTTCAGCTCTGACCACAGTGAATCGTCTTGTTGCTTCCCCCCATAAAAAGCCCTGCTCATATTTCTAAATATCAAACACTCCTGGAACAATAAAATCATTAATATTTAAAACCTCTGGCATATGACAGCACACAAGTGGCTGCTGTGATAGGCCCAATAAGGCAATCTCTGCCATCTAGTTTAAAAATGTTTTTGCATAGTTCACCCCACTCATTAAATATCAGCCCAATTATATTACAGCTTTCAGAACAAAGCCTAACTCCACAAACCATTGCCATCCAAGAATACCTTCCCGGTGTGCACCGATTTTGCTCATACAACGAAGTGTGCTTTATTTAATCAGCATACAAAGACAGGGACTGAAGCCAGCCTAGACTGAACCTTTTAACAACACTGCAGTGGACACTGTCATGTAAATTAGAGTTTGTGGCACAATTTAACGGTTTCATTCTTGTTGGACTGTCCATCTGTTTTGATACTGAGAGGCGCATTTTTTCCTCCCCTAATTTATATCCCTGAGGAAGAGCTAAACCTTCCTATCTAGGACTTCAGGAAGGATTTGGGGGTGGAAATGTCAAGCTCCTGGCTGATCACAAAAATGTGTGTTCTGTTGCCTGGATTCAAACAAAAGAATGGGCCAGGGAGAGGGTTGAGGCTTGCTGGGAGAAGGATTGGAGAGGTCTAAGAGAGTGTAAGAGTGCATTGCCACTGACTCTTTCATGCTGGTGGAAGAGAATGGTCCACATTTGCATGGTCGGCAACAGAACCAGTCTCGGCTTAACGTTGATATTGGCAATAGGGTATCATCTCCTGAACCGCAGCCATCGTGACTCTGTTTCCTCTTTACCTTTTCTGCATTTTTCGTCCTCTGTAGGAGATTTCTCTTTCAAACAGACCAGCCCAGTAAACTGCAAAAGAAATAAACAGAAAAAAATCAAATGCCCCAAACCGCTGGAGTCTTCCAATAAAAACTTGGCCAATAAAAATGGGAACCATGGGAAGAGAACCACTGCTCAGAAGCCATTCTGCGCTCCTTCAGAAGGATCCCGGCCTGGCCCTTCCAGTGTGATCCACCCTGTCGATCCTCACTTGATGTCAGGCTTTCCCTTGGCGTCTTTGGGAGGGGACCACACCTGGCCTTCAGGAGGGGCAGCCCCATTTGCCCCATTGCTTGTACCCATACAGCCCATCCCAGCATTTCCTGCTCCATATACGGGTGGCTTCATGGCTGTGCGGCTTCATAGCTTTCCGGTGTCGACTCCACTCCCTCAGCCTTTCTTCCAAGCTCAGGAGGACCCTTCAGCTTCTAACTCCTACAACCCCATGATGCCCCCAGGCCCTCCTTCCACAATGCCCACATCTGCAGCACCAGATCCTCTGGAGCCCATTTCACCAACTGCCACATTTTTGTCTACTGAGGGAGAGCAACAAGAGGTCTGTGACAGGCAGACCCCGCTATTCAGTAACTCGCGGAGCAGCTCCCCGCTGCAGCTGGACCTGCTTCAAGAAGAGATGCCCAAACCGTTGGAGCTGCCCTGCCTGGTGCCAGACAAGACGCTCATGGAGACCAAATGTGTAAGTCCCAGTGCTCACATCACGCAAGGAACTAGGCTTGTGAGGGCTACTGTGTGTGCACAAGGGGCATCATGGCAGGTCCAGTGTTAAAAGTGCTGCATAAAACAGATAATGGAGCTGCTTCCTAGCTGTTCACAAGGAAGGGGGTTTCTCAATAGCTCTTTGAGGCCTCATAGGCCACTGACTGGCAGCTCACATCCAAGGCTGCTCCTTTCTACGTGGAGCGGTGCTGTATTTCTAAGACTCAGCACAGATGTCAGGTGGGATCTCTGCATGGGGAATATTAATCCAAACACAACATTTTCACTTCCTCTCCCACTGGTCCTCTGGCTCCAAGAGCCACTTCAGAGGGGAAGGTTCCATTCTTATTACTCCCTTTTTCTCCCAGGGATGATATGGCTTTAGTAATGAAGAACAGAATGGGTCGGTTTACATACATGGATATAGACAAAATCCTTTCTCCGACTTCTGCTGTATACTCAGAGAGCCAGTGTGGTATAGTGGTTAAGAGTAGTGGGCTAGTATCTGGGAGACCTGGGTTTGAATCCCCACTCATGTCATGGAAGCTTGCTGGGTGACCTTGGACCAGTCACGCGCTCTCAGCCTAACCTACCGCACAGGGTTGTCATGAGAGAAAAATGGAGGAGAGAACTGTGTAAGCTGTTTTGGGACCCCTGGTAGAGGGAAAGGGGGGATACAAATAAATTAAATGAATAAATAAAGGAGAAATTGTATTGGGAAAGGTGACATTGTTAAACTTTTTTATTGTGTGTGTGTGCTTGCCTGGAAGTCATTACTTCCGGCGACCCCTATTGGGGGCTTGGACGTTTTTCAGAGAGGTGGCTTGATTAGCCTGCCTCTGTCCTGCCTCTGGTATTCCTTGGAGGTCACCCTTCCAAGTACTTGCCAGAGTCAGTCCTGCTTAGCTTCCAAGATCTGACATGATTGGGCTTGGCTAGACTATCCAGGTCAGGGCCACTGTTGAACTTTTGAAGGGTAGTCCCAAAGGAAAGTGGCCTGTCAAGGCTGAGAATGAGACACAGCCAACCATCGGAATGGAGAACTTTGTGCCTTCAATGCATTGCCCTGTGAGATGTGCTGCTGCTGCTGCTTCCATGGCTGGGTTGCATCTTCTGGTGTTGCGTTGAGGCACCAGGGATGCTTGCTACATATGGTCTCTGTTGGCAGAAGAAATCCTTGGGTTGAAAGCATACTTTTCATACTCGTCTTGCCTTGGTTTGCTTTTGTGGCCAGAGTCTCCTTCGCTTCAGAACCATAACCCCGTCCCCCCAGGTTGATAGGAACATCTAATTCTTGCATTCAGCTGTTCACAAAAGCATGACTGCCTCTGTTTGAGTCAGGACCCGAGTTGTGTGACTGGATCTGTTCCATTTCCTTTGCAGGATCAGGATGGGGAGGATAGCGGCAACAACGATGACCACTCTGTTTCCAGTGAACTGTACGACCTCCTACTG